CAAAGCGGCTGAGTGAGGGGCATCCTCCCACAGACCCGCTGCCCCACGGTGCCCGGTCCTGTCTGGCACGTTCCCCAGACGGTCTGGGCTCTCCCCTGCCCCACCACCCCGCTGCCCTCCCACGTGGCCTTGAGCCACATTTGCTGTTCCCATTTTCCTTTTCTAGGGCAGACAGATGTCAAGAGTTTGAGCTGCTCCTCCAGCGAACGGGGCAGGCAGGGCACTACATGGGTATGTGTGGGCAAGGGGGATCGGAGTTGTAGATACCCTGCAGTGGAGGGTGGGCATCACCGGTCCCCAGTGCCCGGGGAGACGCAGGAGGTGGGTTTGGCCCCTCTGCCTCCATCACTCCGCGAGAGGTTGTGCTGCGTGTGACACCCGACTCTGCTGGGTCACACAGGAGGTGCTTTCTCATACGCTTCTTGGGCAAATCTGGGGCTTGGGCCCTGAGCCGTGAGCCCTTGCGGGGCCATGGAGGTGCCCGGGCTGTGCCGCGTTGCCCGACTGGGTACCACCTGGGGTCTTTTAGCAGTGCAAGAGAAGAAGGACCTGCGCGTGATGGAGACGGACTACAGCCACTACGCGTTCGTGCACGAGGTCCAGCAGACAGAGCGGGAGTCCAGCACTGCGGTGCAGCTCCTCAGTAGGTGTCAGGTGTGGGGACAGGCACCCACAGCTCCCCCGGGTGGGATATGGGCAGCAGCGGGGGCGGGGGCTGGGCTCCCCACCACTGCTGTGGGTCATCATGTTGACACCCAATATGTTGGCAGCCAGCCACACCCAGGGAATTAATTTGGGGTGAATGACCCTTGCACCAAAAACACACCTGGTTGCTTGCGGTTTGAACCGAAGCTTCCCTGCAGTGCACCAGCCTGGCTGCAGACCCCCAGCCCTGGCCGCTGCCCCTCACCACCTGCTGGGTGGGTCACCCATCCCAAGGGGCTTGTGCCCCTTTGCTGCCAGCCCAGCAAAGGTGCCTGGTGTCCCCCCTGCACCTCCACAGCGTAGCTTTTGCCCTGCCCTGGGGTCCCATTGCTGCTCTGCAGCAGCCAGACCCCTGGCGTGGGGCTCACTGTTGGGTCCCCACACGCTCACCAACTCCTGCTTTGGGTGTCTGGCTGCAGCGAGGGAGCAGGACGTGAGCCCCAAGATCCTGCGGGATTTCGAAGAGCTCCTCACCACCGTGGGCCTGACCAAGGACGAGCTGGTCATCCTGCCCAAGACGGGTGAGTGTCATGAGGGGTGCCAGGAGGGCACGGGGTGGCACACCTGGTCCCTCTGCATGGGGAGGCTGCGGGGGGGCTCAGGGCAATGCCCATGGCGCGTTCACCCCGCTCTGCTTTTCAACAGATCAGTGCACCGCTGCCAGCAGGTGAGCGATGCCAGGGGAAGCCGCATCTCCCTCCCAGCACGGAATGAGCCGAGCAGACACTCGCAACCCCCCAGGGAGCCCCCTGCCTGCCCCGGGGCTCTGCTCACGGCAGCTCTCCCCTGCTCTAACTACTCGTCCCTCTGTCCTGCCTCCCTGCAGCTGAAGGGGCCAACGCCAGGGCCGTGTGTCCTCTAGACCTGGTGGAGACTGGTCTCTGCTCCCCGCTCCGTGATGCCCCTTCCCATCCTCCCTGTCCAGGCTCTGCCAGACCCACTGCCTACGCCAGGATCACGCCTCGCCCTCTTCAATAAATAGGTGTAGAAGCTGCCCCAGAGCTTGAGGCTTTTATTGGTGGGAGCAGGGGTGCTGCCAGGGTCCCCAGGCACACTGAGCCCAGTGGTCCTGGATCTGACCCTTCCCAGCACCCCAGGGGTGTGGGAGGCGCCGTGGCTGCGTGGTTTGCTGCAGCCAGTGTGGGCAGGATGGGGAGCAGAGGATGGGGAAGGTGCAGTGGGGCAGCTGCAGGGGGGTGCAGGCAGGGGAGAATTGCACGGGGATGAAGGGGGATTTGCACAGCTCGGCTGGGTGGGCAGCAAGTCTGGGCAGGCAGGGTTAAGCAGCTCATACCCGGGACACTCTGTTCCCAGCTCAGACCCCCTCCGAGGGCCACCCAGGTGGGAGTGGGGCTGAGCCCTGGCTGCCCAGGGTAAAGTGCACAGCAGGACTGGGACCCCCTCACCAATCTCCCATCCGCCTTGGTCCCCGCACCTGCCCACTGGCTGCCATGAGCCCAAAGGGCAGCATCCATCCCCCTCCCACCCGCAGGGCGAAGGCAGCCCCTGGTCCCCGCTCTGCCCCGCAGTGGGGGTGGGTCCCTCCGTGCCCAGCCAGGCGCAGGGCTGTGAGGAAGCAGCATGGACCCTTTGGGGCTGTGAGGCCAGACGCCAGCCAGAGCCAGGGCACAGGGGAGAGAGGACAACACACCAGGGGAATAGGACACATTCCCGCAGTGACACGAACTCCATCCTCTGCCTGCCCTGCTTCGGGTGCATCCTGTGTACCCGGATTGCCCCAGAGCGGGTGGGTGAGCCAGCGCGGGCACCACGGGGTCAGGTCGCGCGGGCGGGCGGGTGCCTGGCTTTGGGCACCACCCCCGAAGCCGCCTTCGGGGAGGGGGCC